AGAAATCAAACTAGTATCTTAGAAACTTATTATGGATCCTTACTTGTAAATTGGCAGAATATCTCCAAGAAGTGTCAGAGGCGAAAATGATTTCTCAACACCTTTAGCAGGTTTTGAGAGCAACAAATAAGTCACAGGACCAATAAGCACCGGAACTGTCTCAATTCCGAGCTGCATGAATGGGACAAACATAGCAAATTTAATTATTGTTTAAACTGGATTTGAAGTATACAACTAGAAGTTAAGATTATGAAGCTTCCACAACTATCTCCAATCAGAATTAGTAGTCTCAAGAGCTAAGAGTAATTGGACAAACATGGAAATATTTTCACCTTTACGGCTTTTGTGCCACACAGATGAAAGACTAAAAAGCTCTATGCAATGAAACTCGTAGGTCACAATTTGATAATTTGATATAACCACAGAAGAATTACAGTGCTTTACAATTCATGTTAATGGAACACTCGGTTTTGACTGATTCAAAAAGTCAGGCCATTAGCATCTTAATATCACTGGCTTGTATAATTAAGTCATGTACATTGTATCACTTAGATAATCAGACAAAATAAGTCAAGAAATAAAAAAGGATCCAATTACTTACAGACTTTGCCTCCTTGTATTCAGACACTGGCTTGTGAGAAGAGTAGGAGAACTTTGTGGTTGGACCCAACTCAGGAACAATGAAGTGACTAGATTAAGAGAAAATGTTAAGCGTCAGCCATTAAAAAAAATCAATAATCCAGTTTAGATGTTGGGCTGCTGAAGATGCTTACTAGTTGGTGTCAAACCACTTGGTCATCTCCATAGCAGGCACAGAGGCATTTCCCCTGGCCATAGAGAAATAGGTATCGAACCCAATCTCTCCACCAGTGAAATTGTACCTCTCAGGAACAGCACCAAGCATTGCCGTGGTATCAAGCACTTGATCATAGTAAGAGAAGGTATTGCTAGGAATGTGTTTGATCCCAGCACCAGCCATTTGCTTCCAAATGGAATGCCTGAGATCAGTTGCAACCTTTTGCAAATCATCGGCACTGCTCTTCTTATCCCAAAAGGATTCCAATGCAAACTTGAGCTCTCTCTTAGGACCCATGCGAGGATATCCAACAATGTGTGAGGCCATCTTTCTACATACAAAGAGAAGAAAAGGCTAATTAAATGACGACAATCTAATTTAACCCAGAAAAATAGTAAAACAACAAGAATGAAACAAATAAAATTCACCAGGGGAAAACATATATGATCAATTCTCTCACGAAGAACTCAATAAACACATATATAGTAAGAATTCATTGCTTTGTATAAAATTCACAAGCAAGGTCATTTGTGGTCTTTTATGACAGTTAACCTACTTAAATAACTGGAGACCGAAACAAGATCAGAACACTTAGAGAAATGAAAATACAGAGATTTATACTCCCAAAAAAAGAATATATCAAAAACCACATGGGGAAAAAGTTAAAAAAGGTTAATTATAAACCAGCTTACTCCCCAAAATAAATGTGGTAAATGATGAGTTGGGTTACCACTTATACTGAAAGCTTGAACTGATCAGACTGGAACAAAATAATATTAGAATTCTAGCATCCCTCACATGCATGCCCAATAAAAAATTGACGGCTTGGATCCAGCGCAAGAAAACGGTGCAAGCAAAATGCAATCGTATATTTAAACTCCAACATCATCCCCACATGTGCATGACAAATGAAAGATTCATAGGCTTGAGATGTTGACCCAAGTGCAAACTTATGGTACAAGCAAAAGGGCCCAACATTACATTTAAATTCTAAATCCCCCTCAATGGGAAGACTAATATAAAATGAGCTTTATCACCGATGATAGGGTTCCATGTTCTAAAGAAAAGAACCCAACTCATATTTAAACTCCAACAATAAGTTTTCCAAACAAGTAAATAAACATTGAAAATGAACAAAAATTTGTGAATAGCTAATGGTAAACAAGCGAAAGACAGTCGAAAGACTCAAACACCACTCTGAAGTTATTACGCATGAATCAGAGAAAAAGGCCCAAAGTTTACACTCAAGAGTACCAGATCTACTCATCTTGACCACCAGAAACCCAAATTAATACGAAAGCTGCGGATCTGACATCTAACATACTCCAAAAAAGTAGGCTTAAAAGCTTATCCAATCGGCTCGGCACCAGATCTACAAGCAACCACACATGCAAAACCAGATCCAAGAGGAAGCACGCTACTCTGATCAAGATCCACAGCCAAACAAAACAGATCCAGAGCACATGACCAAACCAGAAACGAGCCCGATAAAAGGTGTCAACTTCGGCGGAACAAAGGGCAAAGATCCAAGAAAAGCAAGCAACAGATCCAGCGCCAAGAAACAGAGCGGCATACTAACCAAACAAAACCCGAGAAAAGGAATCCAGAGTCGTTCTAGATCGAACCCAACTAAAAAAGGAGCCCTCTTTGAGCAAAGAAAGACGGAAGAAGCGGGAGAACAAGGCCACGAGCAAGCCGAAAGACCACAGAGTCAGTGGAGCAGAGTGAATCGCGGGACAAGGAGCTCTCTCACCTCGTAGGGCGGCTGATGAAGCGGTCGCAGAGAACGGCACAAGAGCAGAGGATGGCAAAGGAGCGCGAGGGTGAGAGGAGATCAGCAGGGAGTATTTATAGCGGCGAGAAGTGACACAGCAGTCAGATTCTCTATATCACACCAGCCAACAACACAGGAAAATTAAAATATAGAATCATAAACTATCAAAAATTCTTACCAATTAACCAAATTAATACTTTAAAAAAATATATCAATTAAAGTTTCAAATTCTCATAAATAGTAAAAATATTTTTTTATAATTAAAAATTAAGATTAATAATTTTCTAATAGGATTTTTTAATCATTTGATTTTGAACATTAGCCCCTCAATTTGTTTTTTATATGCAAGTCTTTTTTTTTTTTTTTGCTTTGTGTGAATTTGATCCTCTGATTGAGATTGATGAAAAATATTGTAGGTGTATTCCTCTTGTGCATATAAAGATTCATATTTATCATTATATCTTTATTCATCTAGTGAATTTTTTTTAATCCCATATTTTTTTTATGAAATTAAGATCATAATTAGAAAAAAAAACACATGTGAGATAATATGTGAAACCAAAGCAAAATGCTGAGTAAAATGACATCTAATATATGAGATCTCCATGTTCATATGTAATTTGTTGGAATTGGAGCATCAAGTGAATCTTGATGAGGATGTAAAGTGTAATGTTTGGTTCTACATATTAGAAAATAATTAAGTTGATTTATAAGGTTATAATAAGTGGATTTTTTTTTTGGTTAGTGGTTCAGATTTATCAATTGAGTTGATTAATTATTCATTGGACAAGAAGATGGCATTTCTATCCTTAATCTAATAAATTTACTTCCATCCAAGTTGCAGACTACCAATCTTACAGCAGCACAAAGACTTCCATATAAATACTAAGATTTAGATGACTTGTGTGTAAAAATCAAAAAATTTTTAGGTCTCCTACAACTACATAAAATAGTAGGTGAATGGGGTTGGTGAGATAGTGCTCTGCCACTGCCTACCATGACAAATCCTCTCTCTTTCTGTCTCTTCAATGCTTTGACCATTTCTGTGGAAGGTTGATATCAAATATGGTGCTCAATGATTTTGCTGACACTAATTCCAGGCTTCATTTGGCTCAGTGTTCCTTAGACTGTATCCGAGTCCAGTTAACATGGAATTGGACTGTTGTCATGTAGTCTGCTGTGTTGGTTTGTATCTGAAGAAAGTTGACTTGTGTGCTGTGACCAAACAAGCAACCAGCCAGGTTGAATGGTCTGATGGCCTTCTGATTCAAGGAATCCTTGGAATATTCTGAATGTTTTGTGGCTTTTTTCTTGATCAAAGTGTTTGTAAGTGGGCAATGGAGTAGAAGGAGTTATTGATCAAAACCCCTTCATGTGGATCAATTCATTTGTTTTCTTCAGTTCATAAATATAAGAGCTTGGTCAAAGATAAATGTCCTTTTGGTACATATAGTATTATTTTTAAGATAAAAAATACAAATAAAAAAATAAAATTTAAACACAATCAAAAGAGTCGTCTAAATATTAAAAAAGAAGATAAATAATGAAAAAAAACGAGCGTCCATCCACAATTTACCAAAAATAATCTTTTATTTAATTTTTGAAAGATAAGTAGATAGCTTTCTTAATATAAGATAATGGAGTCATAAACAATAAGAAAACCTTAAGATTCCTCGAATATTCAAGTTGTATTGATTTCATATTACTGTGAGAGTCTGTCTAAATGCAAAAAAAAAAAAAAAATCAATAATAATAATAATAATAATAATAATAATAATAATAATAATAATAATAATAATAATAATAATAATAATAATAATAATTGATCCATTATTTGACCCAGAAAAATAAAACCTTAGAGAAACTATCCATCTATCATGATTATTAAAAGGAAAGGTTCCCTCAATTCATGAACACTACTAGTTCATGACCAGTAGCTCTTCCTTTGTCACATCCAACTCCCAAGGAGTTGGTAAGCACATTTAGATTGCAGAGTACAATTAGCTGTCACATGAAAAAGGAGAATGGAGAATGAGATGCAATGTTATTCACCTGTTAGAAATCAGGGGGACTTTTGTAGGTGTGCCAAACTTGTAGTAGGTAATCCACGGAGGACTCTCTAAGGAACATACAAGTCAAGTTAGATAGATGACATCTTTCTACGAAAGATAAAAAAGAGAGAATTATCGAACCTTTACTCATCTTCCAACTCCAGTGACTTGGCTAGAAAGTTCTTCGTAAAAGCTGAGAGTTTCATATACATGAGATAACAATCCCGGAAAACTTCAAATCACATCATACATAATATTCTGATTCAAACTTTCAAACTAATTGCTCATGATCTCATTTCCAATCTAAAATCCAACAATTATCTAGCAAGACCATCTGAGAGATCAAGCAGAGTCGAACCATGGTGCCATATCCAGCTCCAAATATAAAATTTGTTCAGCAATAAGGGATTAAGCATAATGCAATTTTTGTCGAATATAATAATTTACATGCAGCAGGTTAAAGCAGAATACAGCTGATCTAAACAAGAAACTAAAAGCAAGCCATCTAGCAAGCACACACACATTCTACATTTTTAGTTAGTCACTACAAAATAGGACACAATCGAATAACCGAGAATTATTAGTAACTATATCATCCGACCACAGGTCAACCTTGTCTGAGTCTTGGTACCTATTTTACCTGTAGTAAGCCTGCTGATACCCTGGCGCCAGTCCATTGTTGTAACCTCCCAAACCGTTGTGGTAAGCTCCATAGGCTGGATAGGTCATAGGTGGTGTGGGGTACGAGGCACCAAGTGCAACAGGGGCTGCTTCTTCGGTTGGGTATCCATAGGGTTCCCTGAGAGCTGGTGGGCTCCTGCTGCCATAGATTCCATGTCCTGATGGCCTATCATAAGGATACAGAGCTGCTGCTGGGTAGGTGGTGTGGGCTGACGGCGATCGTACATAGGCAGGACCAGCAGGGAAGGAGGAGACACAGGCATTGTTTGTGAGACGACCAGCCTTGGCAGGTGGCATCGGTCCCCCATTATTGGCTCGGGTCCGCTTGTTGGCAGGACCAGCACCGGAAGGCTTTTTCTTCTCCACTTTGGCCTTCTCCAAGTTTTCAAGTCGCTTCTGGAGGCTATCCAGTGGAAACTCAGCTTCAAGCTTGTGTTCTTGAATACATTTCATGGCAGCCCTAATAACCGACAGCTCCTTGCGGCACGTGGTATTCTGCAATAGAACGGAATGAGCACCTCTAACTTCAACATCAATGTAAAATATAAGACAAGCTACATATTCACACAATGAGATCATGATGGCTACAAAGCTCAGATATATATACAAATGGCCCATGTAACAATAAAAGACCAAATAGAACAGAATAATCTGTGCTAAGAAAAAGACATTTCCATATGAGACATTCAGCTCATATTATAGGACTAATTATAAAGATCCTACTGCTTGATTACTTGTAATAAATTTAATTAAAACCAAAAGTTCCAGAAGGACTAGGCATACTGCAGTTTGCCCATAATTGTTGCGATCCTCTGAAGTCGAAGTTGCTTTCTTTGAATCTTCAAGGAAGGATTTTAGCAATGGAATAGGAGGGAACTTGTCCTGAAGGCCAGCCTCATAAGCAAAGTTTATGGCATCTAGCTGATGTCCTGTACTAATTAATTCTTCAATAATATCTACAAATGTAAAAAAAAAATTCAAGTCAAGCATATAGACAAACATAACCTTCCATAAGAACAACCAGCAGCAGCATTCATTTTTCATTAGAAGCATTTTCTTACCCAGCAGAATCTTAAGCAATAATTCCAACAAAGATCAGAATGTGAAGACAACTAACAACAAATTGACATGAAGTTCTAGAATATAAACAACAAAGAATATCAGCAAGTCTGATAGTTTCTAACGACTTCATGCAAATCTTGAATTAAGAACTTCATGAACATCCCAATAATTTTCACCTAGCAGCGGTACCGGTTGTGGACATCTAGATAGAGCATCCAGCCAACAAACATATTTCACGTTGAGAGAATAACTCAAAGAATAGATTAATCTAGCCACTAGATAGGAAGCATATGTCCTGATAAATCTACTCTAAAGTCTAAACACAATGTCTAAGATACAAGAACAACAGAATAAGAGTCATGGTTGTAAAGGTTTTATAGTGGTGGCATTTCATAACAATTATCATATGTTCATCTACCAATATAGTTAAAAAGCATTGATGTTCATAACTAAGGAGCACTGACCTCAACATTCTGCAACAATCCAGCACTACTAAGCCACTAAAGCATAGAGGATCCAGGATGTTAATCATGATATAATAATACATGCTAGTGACCAAGTAGGCCATATTACTGAAGACCATTTTGAGATAAGATACGAAGAGAAAAGTAAATGAATATAAACCGGTAACAAATGTGGAAATAGTGCACCATATAAGGCATGTCTCTATAATAACTAATTTTTCATCAATTAAAATAATATTATTAGTAAATAACATACAGCACAGTCTCTATCAAGTATATGATTAGTATATTCATCCATTATCAATGCAAAAAAAGATAACAAGAAGACTAATTTAGATAGAATCCTTTAGTTATAGAAAACAAGATACCCTCACTAGTCATAATACTAATTACTAATCTATCATGTATATTTTCACAAACATTATTAAAATTACTGGATACTATTTTCTTTCTTAAAACATACCACAACAAATCTTTAGGAACTTTATCATAAACATTTTTACAAGACAATAAAAACCATATGAAAAATCCTTCTTCTCTCTATATTTATTTCCTTAATTATCCCAACAAAATTATATACTTTCTATTCTTTCCACTTCCATCTAATGCTATCAATCAATGTGATTAGCGACGCTTTATTCAGGTGTAAATTCACAATCCTTATGTACAACACCATCTTCCCTTCTAGTGGGAGAAACGATCCATCCAACAACCATCAATACAAATCATACAAAAAGAAAATTCCTCTTCCATCTAATGCTATCAATCGATGTGATTAGCCAAGCTTTCTTCAGGTGTAAATTCACAATCCTTATGTACAACACTTCCCTTCTAGTGGGAGAAACGATCTATCTAACAACAGTTAATACAAATCATACAAAAAGAAAATCCTTTCTTGATATATGAAATACAAAATAATGCAATATCTACACATAGTGCTATATTAATAATCATTATTGAAATTTTTGTACAATTTCACTTGCATGTTTCGTGTCATCCGGCAAGAATGCAGATAACAAACTCCAAGTTGTCAAAAAGTAAAACTTGTTTCCTCTTCTTTTCAGAACAACTGGCATGCATTTTGACAAACTCCAAGTTTTCAAAAGGAACAATTGCATGTCATCTGCATCAACCTCGATTAACTCTTTGACAAACCATTTATCATACAAAATGGTCTCGCAGTCAGAACTGACCATAAAGGTATTGGTGTTCTTGTACATGTACACATTACAAGAAACTACAACCAAGATATCATGGAACAACAGATGTGCAAATTTGTCATCCTACAACTGCTATGGTCTAATTTCAGAAAATCCTAAACTGAATTAAGTTATGGTGAGACCCAATAATGTTCAACATATTATTCAAACGATGCAAGTATAAAAAAAATGAAGGATATAAGAAAACTGCACCTTCCATACTATCCTCGAGCCCTAAAGAAATAGCCAGCTTTGGCATCTGCCTCCTCCATGCAAAACTAACCACAAGCCTCCTGTATAGGTTCTTGTCGTCCTTCTCTATGACTCCAAAAGTCACCACGTGTTGGAGAAACGTGTGTGCATCGGGTGGCTTCACGCTCTCGATCCCTCCGTGCTGCTCCAGCCCCTCCTTCCACCCCGTTGCCATCTCCCTGGCCCGCTCCCTTATGCTACGAGTCACCAATGGCCTCGCCGATCCCAGCTCCGGATCCGCCAGGACCGGCACCAGCGACTCCAAAATCAACACGCAGGCCCACCCCAAATCATTTGGTGACTTTACCGGCCTCTTATCGACAGGGAATACCTCAGAGATCGCATCGATAACAAATTTGGCTGGATCGATGCAGTCCTCGAGGGCTGCCGGGAGTTGCGAGCGAAGAAGCTCCACCTCCTTCCTTTTGGCGACCACGAGGTCGAAAAATGCACCGAAATCCATCTTCGTGCAAAAGGATCGCAGCTTTCCGGCGAGATCGAGCTCGTTGGCCTCAGCGGAGGAGGCCGCAAGGGCCTGGACTGCGGCCGTGCGGCGCTCGTCTAGCTTGGCGAGGGCCAGGTCGACGGCGCCATCGATGGAGAGCTCGCGGCGGCGGAGCGAGTCGAGGGTGCGCCGGGTGGAGCCGTCGAGAGACTCGCGCTTCGACCGGAGGGCTTCGGACTTGATCTCGATCCCTCGCTCGAGAGTGGAGAAGTGGTCGGAGAGCTCCTTCCAGAGCAGCGTGCAGCAGGTGATGAGCTCCCGCTGCTTCTCCAGCTCCGCGAAGCTCTCCTGCACCAGCGAGGTCGGGACGACGGCGGCCGCCTCCGATCCCATCTCGGATCCGTCAAAACTCCCTCAAAAACCTCGCTCTCTACCCGATTTCTGCTCCTGGGGAAGCGGAAGAGAAGGAACACGAAAACCCTAACCCTAACCAGAGGAAAGGGAAAGAGGAGAGAGAGAGAAGTGGAAAGCGAGGAGGAGAAAAAGGAGGGCAGGATGGAGCGAGCCAGTACGGATGCCGAAGAGCCAATCCAAAGGCGACAGGTGGCGGTCGCTTACTGTAAAGCGTTAAAGTAGAGTCGGTTAAAGACGGGTGAAAACGCCGGTCGTAAATAAGCGAACGAGACGCCGATGACAGCGGTGCGCTCACCGCCTCAATGGCGACGGCCCAAAGGTATCGTGGGCTCGCACAGGGCCCCAACAGTAAAACCTCCCCAATCGGTCGTTTACACGTAGATGATGCCTGTGGCATCCTACGTGGTCATACGTGGCACCTAAAGCGCTATTGGTATATGCGTTTCATATCACTCATAAAAAAGATACATCAAAATATCTTGGGCTCCGAGAACTGTGACATCCAACATAATTTGAATTGATATGTTTTTAAGATCTAAGATCATATATTATTACTTTTCATAAATTATTATTATTATTATTATGAATCTTAATGTCAAAATAAGATGATTGTTTCTTTGTGAGGCCCATCTCGTGGGTTATATGGGCCCTTTCGATGGACTACATGGGCCCGGCTTGTGGCCCACAGGTCCGACTCTATATTAACGCTTCCTAGGGTTTGATTCCTCTCTTTGGTGCCGTCCCCCAGTTCGAGAGATCGCAGTAGAAGGCAAAGTCGCCATGGTGAGTGCTTCATGCAAATCAAGTTGTTTTTGACATCGAGATCGTTTCGTTTCGCGTTTCAATTACTCGTGGCCGGTTTCGATCTGTAGTCGCTGGTCGCGAACGAGGATTTCCAGCACATTCTTCGTGTTCTGAACACGAACGTCGATGGGAAGCAGAAGATTATGTTCGCCCTTACCTCCATTAAGGGTATCGGCCGCCGCTTCGCCAATATCGTCTGCAAGAAGGCCGACGTGGACATGAACAAAAGGTTGTTCTCCTTTGATGTTTCCTCCTTTTTGGAAAATCTTGATTCGATATTAGTCTAAGAGCTTGTATTTAGTATTTGCACCTTAGATATTGGTTTTAACTCTTTTTTTTGCAGGGCCGGTGAGATCTCAGCTGCTGAACTGGAGAACCTGATGACGGTCGTGGCTAATCCACGCCAGTTCAAGATCCCAGATTGGTTCTTGAACAGGAAGAAGGACTACAAAGATGGCAGGTACTCTCAGATTGTCTCGAATAGCTTGGACATGAAGCTGAGGGATGATCTTGAGAGGCTGAAGAAGATAAGGTTCGCCACTCCTGGCTCTCCAGTTCCTTTGATTATCTTGAGAATATTTAATTGTGTTGCTTTTTAATTTGCATTTAATTCGTCACCATGAAATATGTAAATCTAATTTTATTCATAATCATACTCTGTTCACTATTTTGTCTGGTCAAAATGTTCTATCCATTCTTAGGTGCATTCTGTCATCTATTTAACGTTTAATTTTCTATATTGTCTTTCTCCCCTTTGTTAGTTCACCTAACAATGTTTGACACATTTATATCTTCTTAGTGTCTTCTCATTTATGGGACAAAACTCGTACATGTTGTATTTACTTTTTTTTTAACCTTTTCTTTTTTACTTTGCTAGTTATGTTTTGTGGAAGGGAAAGGAAGCATGACAAGTAATACAAGTGGTCTAGAATTTTTTCCCTTTTATTTCTCTGTGATTTATCGGAGTTCCTTTTGTTCCTACCATATTTTATTTGCATGGCTAGTCATACAAGAAGTTCTGGTTGATCAATTATCTTGATTCTATTCGTCATTGGTAGACTTTGTTTTTGGGCTACTAGATAGGTTGTGGGAATATATATTAATGCAAATGGGTGACCCGACACACTAGGCTTTTGCAGATGTCAGGTTTGAGGAGTATAGATCAATGGGAATTAGTGATCGTTCTTCTGATTGGTTAGGTGTAAGTTGTAGTGGGTCTAGATGAGTTTTAGTGGACAAGAAAAGCGCAACAAACCTTTGAAAATCAAATTAATAAGATTAAATGTTCTCCTATTTGCTAGTTCCTCGAATTGGCATGTCAAATGTCTATTTATCATCTTTTCTTATCCAGGGTTGCTTTTGACTGCATTGTTTATTTTTTTATGGGGCTAATGATATCATGAAGAGCATTCCTGAGTGAACTTTTTCTCTGTGTAACTCTATGTGCAAGTGGGATTGTTGTCATGAGTTGTAAGATTTGCTACTCTTGATGGTCATCCTTTCACGTTTGTCTTTTATTTTACACTTTCAAGTAAGGTATGATGCATATGGTTCACTCTATGGCTTGTTACTGGTGCCGTTAATTAAATTCTTAAGTTATTGGGTCATGGGCTGTGATTTGTGACGATGTTGAACAAATGTTGCATATGGTGACCAGGTAGATTTTATTGATATCAATTCTTTATATCATTTGCTGAACGATGCAACACGAATTGAATTTCTATGATGGTATCGATAGTAAATGAAATTTTAGTCACCCTTTTATCCAGATAGCCTTGCAGGAAGGCAAGTCATGTTGTGGCTGAACTTTGGTGCTGGTTGGTGTTAATTGTTTTAAATTGTACCATATTTTTTTATATATTAAAATATACTTTGATAGAAAGGGGGGTCAATAATGCCATTGCCACAGGTTTTGGGATTGAGCACATTTTGTTCTGCGTTTATGTCATGGATGGGCATCTTGTACAATTTTATTGATTTATGAACTTCTGCATTGTATAGACTAAGTTTTAAGAGTCACTCCCCTCTGCTGCAGGAATCATCGTGGACTTCGTCACTTTTGGGGTCTTCGTGTTCGTGGTCAGCACACAAAGACCACCGGCAGGAGGGGAAAGACTGTTGGTGTCTCAAAGAAGCGATGAGTTTAATCACTTCATTTTGCCCATCGATGGTCTTTGTTTGGATCTTTAAGACCACTTCTTGGTGTTTCTTTTATTTCATAATTTAGACAAAACAGTCAATTTATCTATGTGGCTGCATTTAGACAACAATTTTGTTTGTCAATTGGACTATAATATTGTCATGGTTCACCCTTTCTCTTGATTTAAAGCAGCAGTGCGTTTCGGGGATATTTTGGATATCATGGATGCTTGTTTACGTGAAGGATGTATTCTGGTCTTAACTTGATGGGTGACTATTCAATCTTCTGAAAAATAGCTGTACATGTGTGTAAATAATGCCCACTCTTTACTCTTTACTGAAACTGGTCTCATGATCATAATCATACGAGGGATCTAGTAAGTACCCCTATGAAATGTACACCTTTGTTTTTCTTTCACTTGATTAGGCCATTAATTGTTGGCTTCGCAAGGCTCAACAATAGTCATGTTTCCAAATTGATCCTGGTGTGCTTTTAACTTGAGAATCTTTAATGTCATGCTCAATAAATTGTGGCACCAAAATATTTGCGTGACCTGTTTTTTTTGGTTTCTGCAAAGTGCAAGAAAGTATTTTGGGGTATGTTTCATTCCCTAGTAGCTGATTAAAGAAAGTATTTCTGCATGTGCATTTTGTGCTTCAGGACAAAATTTTGTCAGGGAGTCAAAAGTTTTGTTGATCATTGACACTTTGGATAAGCACAATGTATACTTTTAATTTTCCTTGTGCAATTGTTTCAATTGTATTAGCTGTTATCAGTTACTGCTGTCATATCAAGAAATTTATTATTTGTCTGTGATGTAACGATACTTGTATTGTTGTCGCCATTGTCACAGTTGTTATCACTGCTGCTGTGGATGATTTAGAAGTTGCCACATTTAATTTAACACTATCAAAATCCAGATGCCAATAGTGTTTAAGAAAATAATAATTTAGTGCTGTCACAATTACAACCTTGAAATGCAATTTCCAGACCTTGGAGTCTCCTTTGTGCTGCTACAGATATTCTAGTGGTCCATCAAACAGATTCTTATTCATTACATCCTATGCTTTGCCATCATCTTTGCATTGAACAAGTTCCACATTGAATTAGTAGAGGTTGATATGTCAACCCACTGTGTTCTAGTTACCATTGTTTTGTCATTTATGCCCAATTTGGTTACTGGTTCCCTTATTCTGACTGGCCTTCTCTGTATCAGGATCAATTTTTATTTTTCATGTTGTCACTATGTTTTCCCTTTTTGTTTTGAGCTTAAACTCTTTCAGAATTTACTTAGAGAGTTGATCTTCCTTATCCAATGTTCTATTTTGCAGTGCCTTTGTGATCTACTGAGTTTGGTAAACCCCCAAATGCATTTCATTATCCATGCCTGGTGAACAAGTGTGTTTGCAGATATTATCTAGGTCAGGTCACTGTTTGATGTAATCTTAAATGAATACATGTTTCTGGCAACTAATACATCATATTTGAGATTGACAGATGCACAAAGGGCCTCTCAACATCTTCTACCACCTGCCTCCCTCTAAATCTGAAAGTAGTTCAAATAATGTAAGATTTTAATTGCTGCCTGGTTGTAGAAGTTTGTTTTCGGGACCTATGAATCATCATCAGTCCAAAGATTTAGATGCATTAGGTACAGGCAGAATGTCTCAAATAATTTGATACCCTCACCTCAGTAGATCACGAACTGTCTTATCTTTAACAATGAATGACTTCTCATATATATTTATATTTTAAAATTGCATTGCATAATGTTTTTTTGCATACATATAATTAAATATCATTTTTTTTAAAAAAATCTGGTATAATTATTTTTTAAATATAATTTTTAACTGAATTTTAAATTTAATTTTATCATTGATTTGTTTTGATTTAATTTATTGAATCAGTTCTTATTACTGAGAAAAATGATGACGAGAGAGAGAGACTGGAAATAAAAGAGGGATAAAATTTACTTATCCGATAAATGGGCTAATCGATGGCTTCACCGCACGACAGCCGACAAGAACACAGCATGCAAAAGGTGGCTATCAAATCACACTTGGGCAGTATAACCATAAAGCCGCGGTCAATGCGCGAAAAGGAGGCGTCGGCCTGTTGCGTTCCCTACACCGAGTGGCTGTGGAAGAAGCCGGTCCGATTCTGGTTTATCCTCTTGCTCCTTAGCACAGTCGATTTTACGTTTCACGTCCTCCGTTGTTCTTGATTTCTCCACCCGGTCTCTGAAAACTTTCCATCTTCTGGTGAATTCTGGGGACTCACAAGTGTGGATCGACCGCAAGGCGAGAAAAGTTGCGATCTTGGTTGCTGGGGGACTCCTTTTCTTCGCCTTTTCTCTTTTCTTTGGCAGTATCTCCACCCAGATGTCATTCTTCTGCTTTTCCTGGAGTTCTCCTTTCCGTGTGGCTTAGAGCGATCCCAAAAGTGCAGCAGAATCCTATCTTCATTCCGGATTTGGTGTTCTGGATTCTGGAGTTTCATTCCCTAGGGGTAAGGTTGCTCCTTGCTTCGGATTCCAATCCTGTATGATCTTTTTCCAGTCCGATGCCGAGTTTATTGTGAGGTTACCATCGAGGAAGTTGCTGCTGGTTTTGATCGAAAGTTTTGAGAGCAATTTTTGTCGGGAAGTTCCCCTTTTGGTTCGTCAAATGGGCTTTCGATGGTTGTGATCTGACATGAGGGTTTTATCCTGCGATTGCCACTATACGCTCGTCTGCTGCTCGAGGTCGTCGGTCCGCTGTTACCCGCCTTGCCCTCCGAAGTCGCAATGGGCAGATGCCAAAAACGTTGCCCCGACCGAAGCTCCAGTTTCTGTCGTGTTGGAGGAGAAGCCTTCTGAAGAAAAGGTTGTGGTTGAGCAGAACACTGAGGAGGATGGGAAAGTTGAGATCTCTCTGAAGAGCAGCCTAAAGAAGCCAAGAGCATCAGATTCAGAACAGGTCGAAAAGAGAAACGTTAAATGGATGGACTTGTTGGGGAAGGAACTTCTTGAGATCAGGGAATTTGAGACAATGTAAGTGTTTTCTTGTCATGCTTTAGTGCGCTGCTTCCTGAAATGTTTCCTACTGTCTTCATCTTCATAAGTCACGGCAGATTTTGGATTAAATTCCATTTAGGAGACTTGACATATTGGTCATGGGCTTCACGTTGCAAAAAGTTGGGTTCCCATTAAAATTTTTGTTTCAGTTGTTGTTCCTCAAATTTCTCAATGTTGTTCGGCGATGTTATCGCTCTTCTCTCTTTTGCATGTATGCCCTGATACAAAGTTTACGAGATATTGTTACCTTTCTTAGTGGCAAATATAGTTAAGATTTGCTTCTTCTTTTTTGTCTCATTCTCACTTTGACCCTTGGATTGTTTCGACAGTTTTGACCAAAAATTAAATGGAAAAATTTTCAAAGATATGAAATCGTAACACTTAATGATAGTTAGGGAAGCAAAGTCGTTCAACATTTCAAAGGATAATTGTGTTATTACAGAAAATGTTATATATAACATTTGTTAATTTTAGACTGAACAAGGGAATGTAAAAATGACCAGAAGTTGGAAACAATATGGGACTGTATACATCCAATATTTGTTTGGAATGTGGCATACTTGTGTCCACGTGAACACAAGCAAACGTTTATCATATCTTGTTTGAGAAATTATTTGAAAGCTTAAAACTTGGTACGATTATAAGGAATTAGAACATGAGTAGTATTCTTATTTTTTATGTTCCTTAAACTTGGCAACATATTACGTATTAGATTTTGTATGAACTTAAAGTGTAAAACTTCACGTGGCCTGTTAATTACACATTTAATTAATATATGATAAAAAACATAAAGGTCAAATATCTACAATTTTTTGGTCAGCTTATATTACTATATTTCTTTATAATAACCCATTTTAAATCAGAACCATAGATGTTGAATCCAAAAATAGACCTAAATTGCTGAAACTGTCTAGGCTTGTGAAGCTGGATCAAAATTACAGAATCTAGACCTAAATTGTTGGAACCACCAGAACTAACAAAGTTGACAGGTCTTTGACAAGACTAGTCAGAATTTTGAATTAAATATCTTTTGGACCTATATTCTTTCTCAAACACACAGGCCATTTATCTGTATTTCTTATTCAATTTCAACTATGAATTTTTCTGTGGTTTTCACCCCATAATCCATTTCAGCATCTTCATCTAAGTGAAACCTTTTTTTTATATTTTATTTCCTAAAATTTTATTTTTTCAGTTTGGTCTCATCTGAAACTTCAAACATTTTTTGGAGCAATAACAATTGTATTTATGGTTTGAATTTCTTTTATTTTTAAGAAATATTTAAAAGATGTATACAAAAGATTCATATCCAAGGTTTTGTAGGGCTTTGAAACGGATAGTTTGGGTTAATCAGTTAATCTTCTCTCAAGTTCTTGAGGGTTCATGAAAGGTAACAAATATGTTGGTTCAGAAGAGAAAAACAACACAAAGAATGGAAAGTTGCTGGGAAGTACCGAGACTGAGGCTTGATAATGTTAAAATTGAGTTGGTTTACTTTGTTGTGTAGATGAATGTCCATGAACTCTAGATATCAATAGCTGATGTTGTCATGTTGTCTTAATAATAAGCATTTGTTGCTCAATGTGTTCACTGTAATCATAGCTTGCTGTTTGATTATGAATTGGTTTTTCTTTTTTGGGGCAAGGGTAAGTGAATAAGATGGATTTGATATCAAGACCATGTGGTTATCTGTAAGGTCTTTACCAGCTGGGCTAGCTAGCTAGCATCTTCAATGTATTGAAAATATCATAGTTGATCCTTATTTACAAAGATTCTAAGCAAACATTTTTATGTGGAAATGGAAAACTAGAAGTAGCTATTTGCAGATACAAGTCATCTCAGTAAAATGGAAGGTATCAGATTAGGGATATTTAGTTCGACACAAAATCATTTATCATTTTGAACAGGAACAAGAAAATTTTCAGATGGATATGTTGCATCAATCAACTATTCATTCTTGACTAATGTATTCAGTATTGAAAAATGGTCACTGCTGTTAGTTTCTACAATTACTAATACAACTTTGGGGTTTTTAAGGATTGTGAAAGGTGGCTGAGAGTAGAAGTCAAATTAGCTGAGCCACTATTAACGTAACTGTTATTCTATTGATGTTTATACAATTATCAAGGACTGAGTTTAATCTGATATCTATTTTTTTAGTAGAACTTAATGCTATATATAAAATTGACTGACATCACTCATCTGGCACAACTGAATTTGGCACGCCCTTGTGATTCCATAGCTGACAATAACCTCCCCCTCTTTAGCCCTCTTATTGAGTTTAACATGCCCAGGTTTTAGTTCAACCACATGGACCCTTGTTAGGGTTTAACTGATAAAAAACTGGTTCCAGGTAATTCTGCTGTCTTTTATTAGTTTTGATCAGCAAGTTACCAACTCAATTATTTAGACATTCATTAACTTAGAACTATGCAGCATGAGTAAATATGGATTTCTTCTTCACAAATCACTTTCTGTAGTGTGGAAAACATGATGAATTTGACTCCACAATCATCTTACTTTAAGGCTCCATTAATTTGGTTCAAATTTATCTGGAGCATAGATTGCTTTTGGAGTCTGATAACATCTTAATTTGATGGTCGGTAGTGGGTGCAGTTAATTGGTTCGCCTTTTTGGGTTGTGGTTTGCATTGAACCACTTGGGCCATTTACTAGTTTACATAAAATATTCTGGACTTTCGACTTATTAGTTTCGTATTTAATTTAAGATAAAAAATTGTGGCAGATAAAAGGTTTTGAACCTTATGATAGTTTCAAATTGTTTAGTAGTTTTTTGTTTTGCGGTTATGTTTGAACAAATGCGGAAGTGGGAATCTTGGATTTATAGCTACAAATTGAACAAAATTATTATGGACACTGTATCTACGACAACAACAACAAGCAATAAGGTCCCAATTATTTAGTGTCTATTGGATCTCTAGTTTGAAATATCTGGATCATGTTCCTCCACCAATTCAGGGCACAAAGTACCAAGAAAATCAGTTGTGGACCATTGTCAAGGTTTCCAAGGGTATATAGTTGTCTCAGTGATTAGGACATGCCTTATAATGATTCTTTGATTTTGTCATGTGAAAAATTTACTTCATCTTCATGTTTAGAAATGTGCCCATATACTTGCCAGTTCGGAAATGAAAGAAATGCCAAATGTTGGAACATGTTAAAGACACTCAGTACCAATGGAACAGAAATCAGGTATAGTTCTCTACTAACCAACAAAAACAAGATCCATATGAAAATCTAGAAATATGTTTATGAAGTCTTAGAACCTTATTTTCATTAACAGAATGCTTCTCTGGAAAAAGAGGTTATTCTTGTATCAAATTGTATGTCACAGTTACTGACCATGAACTTTTAATTCCTATGTTGAATTTGTTCAAATAATAAATGCTATGTTAAATTTGTTCAAATAATCTTCAAAAAGTATGTCAAACTAAATATAGAAAACTGTTGAACAAAAATTAAGCAAGCAAAGGAAGTCCTACAAAGCATAAAATTTTGATAGTTGGTCATTCACATATAGTTTGTGTGCCATCCTCAGAGATTCGGATTGCTCAACAGTATAAGTTTCTTCATTTACTTATGGAATAGATGTCCATAAGATGAATATATTGTGAAATACATAGTGAACAAGCACTAGTTCATGAAAAACAAATTACCTGCTCCATATATATGTCAAAATATTGTTTAATTCATATTGTAGACAATGTTTATGTCCCAGTTAAAAGAGCCTCATGTGCCATGAACCAAGTAGAGAAATAAATAAGCTTTTACCTTAACCTATCATCAATAGGGTTTATGAGACAACTAAAAAGACAACATCCCCATATCCTTCTTCCCCATTCTTCTTATCTAAACCTTATCTCCAACAAGTTTTAGTATTCTGGGTTTTTGATTTGATGGAAGAGGACATGATTTGAGTGAAAAATCAAAATTCATCATGCATTAGTTCAGGCTGCAGTATTAATGTAGTTCGACACGATATGCTGGAATGTGCTCGAACCGTACCACTCCGGTTATGAACGGGCATTGATATGGTACCTGAAATTGGAAACGCTGATGGAAACCGTGAGAGCTGTGCCCTACCAAAGTTGAAAATGCAATTGGCTTGATGAGCAAACATGTCTTGACTAACTAAAATCCATCATGCATTAATTTAAACTTCAACTTATTTTGAGCTGACAAAGATAAGCTTTTGAATTAGAAGTATAGAACTACCATGGTTCACTAGGTTAGTTTCTATTAAAACTTGGATTGTTCCACAAACAGAGATATTTAAATATATTCAAAGTCTCAGACCTAATTTTCTGTCTGGATTGTCTTGTAGCATTTCAAATCCCATTACATATACAATTCCAATGTAGATACTTTGGTTTTCTTTTGCGTAAGGTAGTAATTTGAAGACTTGATCTGTTACATTTGTGCATTTGTGCTATGCACTAATGTTATAAACAAATATTTATATGAAATGTGAAGTTGTCTGATGAATTCTCTTCATGATTTAATAAAGTCTTGTCTTGGTTACAGTGAATCTGAAGAATCAGAGGGTTACGCTGATGGCAACACAACATGCATTTGTGCCATTCAATGACAATCATTTACTTGTGACGGAGAACAAATAGTGATTATCAATTATCCAGCTGCTATGAACCTCAGCTCGAGGTTATGGTTCTGCCATCGAGAATTTGCAATGAGAATTGATCGAGCCATCAAGCATCCAGCTTTCCTTCTCCTTCAGAATTCCCTTCACATTTAGAAGAAATACATCGAAGTCAAAGTTATGCAGATGTAGTTCGGCTCATCGTCATCCAGCTCTGGAGTTGCATGTGTTAGTTGCAGTTCATTTATTGGATATAGTTGGAAGTAAATGTTGCAAATTAAATCAGATGCATTTCATGTGTTAAAAGGATTTAGATGGAAGTGGTTGGTATTTGTGTTTTTTTCTTGCATTAAGATTATGATTGCTCTGTTAATTGCTATTTTGTCACTGTGGACCCTTTTGAGTTCTGGATGTAGAAATTATCCATGTCATCTGATGATCTACCTCTTCTCAGCTGATTGTTAGAAGTATGTGTACAACTTAATCAATTGCTTGCTTGTTGGCACAAGAAAAATTAGTGAAGATTCTTTCAATTGCAAGTGTTTCAATCTATTTCGCTCACTTAGAACTCGCGAATACAGCGAGAAGAACTGTCAATAAAAGGCTGTTTTTCGAGGGTTTGTGCTCCTCTTTATTCTGTGATGTATGTTCCCAGACATTCTTGAGCATCTTTATACATTCTTAGTGTGAGATAGAATCACAGTGAGGGATGCATCAGGGTTTCACCATTTTCAGGGCTCCTACAGAAGAATTGTATTCTTTTTACACAGTTTTCAATAGAATAAGAAAAAAATCTTCAACTTTCTTTGAATTGTTGAGACCACTAACTATAATTCCTACTAAGCTCATGTCCAAACATCACAGTATCTATATCTTTCTCACCTTCATGTATAACTTGGAAGCATTGAAGCATTCTTCTGCAAGAATTAGACATATTACAAGTATATCTCAAACAGCTATTTCTATATTTGTTGGCTTCACTCATTGCCAACATAATGATGTTTCTTATACTTGCTATGGGTCTGAACTGGCATCCTTTACTTGCTATATCTCTTTTAGACTTTGCACAAGAGAGACATTGTCTGATAATTACTGCTTGAATAATGATCAATTCACATATAATTGCATGCATAATATGTTGTTATGATGATTAGAACCTTTGATCCAAACAATAGTAGCACAATGAGCACAACTAGAGAAGTCAATCTTTGGTCACATCACCTCTCCCTCTTTCTTTGGGGAACTCCATGTTTGCTTGCAAAATGGGTTGAATGATGACATAGGCAAATGGGAAAGCATGTTGCTGACTGAAGACAGAAGAACTGGGCCACTCATATTGCATTGCATGCTCATCAATTGGCATGTAGTCAAAACCTATCAAAGTCCCAACTCCAATCACATTCACAGCTAACAACATCAATTGTTTCTGAACACACAGTCTGATCATTCTTTGACCACAGGAAACTTCATTACTACTTTCTGTGAGTCAAAATAATTAGATTAAGTCATCTTAACAAAGCTAAATTATATGAATGATTTAGGTTAGGGAAGAAAAATATGTTTTTATTTCTTTTAGACTATAATGTGATAAAAAAAAATTAATACTCATGTAAATTCTAAACATATGTATACATTTCACATAATGTGATTAAAATATGTTTTCCAGAAATATTTTTCATGGACAATTAATGCCTTGAAGAGGACAGAAATTTGAAGTTCAAGAAAGGTTCAAAGAGAAAGAAAGTGGAGCTTCAAATAACTTGAAGTTGATGGAACACAGTGCACAGACCACCCAAAGAACACTTCCAAGTTGGACCAAAACATTTAAATCAAGTTAGTATTGTGAGATTTATTCTATACTAACATTATTGAATGCAGCATAACATAACCTTAATTAGCTTGTAAGTGTTCCACAATAAAAGCCATTCAAGCATTTCATTGAGATAGATAAATTGTCTGAAAGAAATAACTGAAAGAGACTTGCAATTTGTGCTATGAATTATTTTCTGCAAGACAGGTGTAGTTGGTGATTGAGATTGAAGAGACCAAACAATAGGATGACGATTGTTCATGTCTTTGGATGAAAGGAGGAGAAGAGCACAGAGTTGTCAATGGAACTTACAGTAATTCTATGATGCACGCAACTCTGTCTCAATGACAACATTATTGACTGTTCAACCATCATTCCATCTCAGAAGCCTCAAAGAAGCTTTAATTAACATTCTGGGCAAAGTACACCTCCTGTTTCTTCCCCTCCACACCCTCCATTCCCAAGTTTTCTAGTGTCATGTCTAAGGTTAATCCATCCTCATCTTCACTGTAAGTTCTCTCTATCTCTCTATTCTCACAACAACACACACACACACACACACACACACACATTTTGTTGTCCTACTTGTTTGCCTCTTTTCGCTGAGCAGCAGCGCATGTTCTTCTAATTGTTGAAGGCTCCTTCAGTGGCACTTAAATATGACAATGCCTTGCATATTTGTGATATTGTTCACGAGTTTGGGGGAAATATGTATTTAGCTTGCTTATCATCTCACATATTCTGCAGGCCTTTGACAATTTGGAGAAGATGAGTTCATTTCATTTCTCCATGTGCTTTGGCCTTGCTTAGCATAATTTATCCAATATCATATGCATGCATGTAATGAGAAGTTGCTACTTGTGTATGCAGAGGAGGAACAGATACTGATAAAAAAGAGCAGCCAATACCAACAGTTAACAAGCAACCTTCAATTCCTGAAGATGGTTATGAGTGGAACAAGTATGGCCAAAAATACATCAAAAACATTAGGAAGATCAGGTGAGGATATCTATTTATTTGATCTTAATTGCAGGTAAAAGAGAATTGAATTGCTGAAAGCTCATCTTGTTTCCTTCTACTGTTTCATCTTAAGTGCAGAAGCTACTACAGATGCCGGCGGAAAGAGTGCAACGCAAGGAAGAGGCTGGAATGGTCTCCTGCTAACCCAACCATCTTGAGAGTTATCTACGATGGAATGCATGATCACCGGTCTCCTTCAGATGCTGAGCAGGTTCACAGTGTAGATGTAAACCAGTATGAGCTTGGCAACCAAGTTTTAGGGCAACTTAATGACACTCAGCAGGTTTAGTCTCTTCTTAAGACTTCGCATGGAATGGAATTCACATGTATTTGTATAGATCTCAATCCTCAATGTATAGCAAGCCCATCAGCCAATGTCAATCTATAGGTTTCCTCTGATGTCTGATACAATGCTGTTGATGGGTTTAGAATGTATGTATCAAACAATCTTATACAATCAATAAAGTTCACTTCAATCCTTCCATGATTCTTTTGCTCCACTTTTAAGTTAAATGTCAGTGGCATCTGAAAGCATATATATTCTAAAGTGTATACTCATGTCTAATTCTGGCAAACTTATTAGACTCTTAAGAAGAGATTCAGTGGTATACAGCACCTGTCTAGGATTTGATTTTGGAGTCAATAAGCAAATTCAGTAGCTTGTTTATGGAAAGAGGTGAATTCGGAACATGCAGAAGAGTATCAAACTCTTTTAATTGGTTTCGACAATGATCATGAGAAAATCTTTTGCTTTCAGCAGATAGAGAGAAGGAACACTTAAAGTATCATATGGTCATTAAACCTTGAATTCAGAAACTTCAAAGTTATTTAAATCAAATACCAATTTGAAGTGTGGTTGAACTTCTTCAATCAATAACTATCTGCTACACCGAAGATGATCTAGATTTACGATCAAAATCTGCCTATTCTGACAATTTGCTCAAGCTGATTTGACACACAAATTTCTTGTCCTCGTATTTATCTGATCTACATGGGGTTCTAGTCGACTGCATCAACAAGACATTTTCTTAAGTTTGGACTGGCTTTCCAGCTGATAGATCACTGAAAATGACCAGAAATGTCAAGATTGTACTGGTTTGCCAATCTATGAAGTTTTTCCCTCCTACAGCCTGAATTCTCACAACTAATCCCTTCCATTTACCCCTCAGCAACTCGTTTTACATCAAATTAGTACTGATCACTAGTCGTCAAAGTTACATTCAAAGAAAATGATGCTTGCAGACACGTAATTGGAATTGAACACTATACGTGTTGGATGGAGCTCAGCTAGAATATTCATTGGTAGTTTCTACACAATTATTTGATAAAAAACCACAATTAAAGAATGGAGATAGTGAAGCATAATAGACCAGCTCGTTAAGATATGCAAACGGATGGCTTTAGACTCTTGTTTTTGGCAAATCCTACTAAAACTGATCATTCTGAAATAGTTCAAGACCTGTTTGCTTGAAAGTTGCATAGTCATGTTCATTAACGTGAACATAATTGCCTTTTAGAAGAACTGAACTAAAAAACAAACCATCTGTTTGATATGTTCGTGCCCAACTTGGAAGACTAGACTTTGTTTCTGTTCTCAAGGAGAAAATTTTTCCTGACCCTTGTGAATAGACCCGTAAGCAGAACACATACCGAACACACTTCAGAGAAAGTATTCCTGTCATTTTTTGTCTCTTGAGGGTGAGAGACAAATTTGTGTAGCTTTCATGGTTTGTTTGATACTTGGAAAGTTTTAAACTAGCTTTAAAAAGGTGTGGACAAGAATCTGGTCTAAGATACCAATTTTAGTCTAAGTCAAGCTTAAACTATTAGCATAAAATCTATAATCATGCTATTTGTTATGCAAATAAATTTTCATGCCAGAATCTGAAATCAAACAACAATATATCTAAACAATATTATGATACGTATCTTTCGTTGCTATTTAGAAAAATAAATTTTATCTGATCTATAGGCACATTATCGTCGGATCTGAGATGTCAATCTACAAGAAGAACTAGACTCATCTTCTCCTCTCTTCCTATCTTTTCACAAGATCACTATAATCGATGGATTTAGGAATGCAAGAACATAAGAGAAGATCTGTAATCTCTCATTGACTGATTCACGTGATTAAAGGGAGATTGGAGAAGAACTATAATCTCTCCACTATATCACGCACTCTTATACTGTTATGTTCTCGTGCTGTGTCCCTAGAAGGTCATTGTTTATTTATAGGTGAGAGTAGAAGATCTAGAATAAGTAATTAGGAAAGTTTCTCCCATCAAGGATATCTCCTAATAAATCTTACTTTTATTGAACTTCCTTTCTATTAGTCAATAATCATAATCAAAATCCATTCATATCCATAGTATATCTTATCTAATTAAATAGAGTCATATAATCTAACATAAATATCATTTAAACATTAGAACTCATTGAGGAATGAAAGATATAATGGATGTATACTTGCATGTGCTTAGATTTGTTGTTAAGATCCTCTCAAAGCAATAGGTTTTGATATGACATGAACAGCATATCTTTATTTTGAGAAATTTTGGTTCAATTATGCTGTGTATGAGGTTAATTTAGTTTGTAAAAGCAGATAAAAATATAATTGTGATGGAGGAAGAAAGCATAAGCTGTGGCAATTGAGATAGAAATGCTCTGCCCACCTCTTCTTTTCCAAAAAGATCAGAAGAAGAA